CCAGTTCTATATTTTTTGTTAAATAAACGAAACATGACGCCACCTTTTTTGACGTTGCTCAAGAATAATTTGAGTCACACCGTTTGTTTCTATATAATTGAATGTCTGGTGGCTAAACTCTGGTCGATTTCAGTCAACCTGTCATAACAAATTAGACTGATTAAACCACACAAACATGGATGTTAAATTGTCTTTGCTAGTCATTGCTGAATTCTCAATTTTTGTAAAGCAATAATTTAAGTTATTAGTCAGGTTGATTTAAACAGCGCGATCCAGTAGAAATATCCGGAATATTTTCAGAAAAACCATTAAATGGGGATAATAGAAACTGCGGTGCCAATCTGAACAAAATGTAAGGTTTTTTAAAACTTCATAATATCAAAATCTATCGCTATATTTAGATTTACTAAGCTGAATGAGAATAGTTTTTTGAAATAAAATGTTGGTAGCATTTGGTGTTTCCATTATGTGAAAAACTTCTAGTGGACCTTATACTAAGATGAGGTATAATAATTTGCTATGTAATGGATAAAGTGTCTAATTATGAAGCTGTAGGTGCATGAGTGAATGAATTAATATGTGCTACAATTTCTTTGCATGATATTGGAGAGATTTTAGGCCCCTTAAAATTACGTAGACCTTAAACGCTGAACGTTATTGTGATCATACGCAGCGTTAAAAAAATAGAGTGTTCAGGCAAATAACGTTAAGTGCGTTTTTTAGTTTTTGATACCGCTTTTGTTGCACTCTTAATAATAAAAATAGTCGTAATAAAATAAACCTCACTTTATTGTTTTCTTATCCCGTTTTGTTTAGAAAAGTTGTAAAGCTAGTTTAAGTTTGTATTGTTTTAAACAAAAAGTGGCTAAGATGGAAGAAAACATTGAAACTGTCTTCTGCACCGAAATTACCAGGGAGATGTGGACCACGATTTAATAAGAGGCTTAATTTTACTCGATATCTTTGACCCACCTGTTGTTGCAAACCGAAGAGTTATTTTTAATTTAGAAAATATTGAGCCCAGGGATTGCCTTACCAAATTTATGTTTCAGAACAAACATATTCCGAACATATTAAATAAAAATTCAAAATCAAATAGTTAGGTTATGGGTTAAAAGTTAGAACCTGCCAGTGGGATGTTAGTAGTGTTGCCAAAGTTTAAATTTGCCTAAACAATTTTCACATAAAATCCGTAATCACGCAATAATGGCGTAAATTAACCAATGAAAAAGTCTTATATAGATTTACAATACATTTCTTATTGTATTGTAACGGAAATAGCCTGGGGTACTCACGTTGGAATTGGGGATCAAAATTCATGGTATTTCAGTAAATGGGAGTCCCATTTCCGCCCCATTTACTGTCAAATATGACACTGACAAGCGGGAAATTTCGTCTGGGTTACCTGGAGGAAACTATATAAGCAACGGTGAGAACCAGACGGGGGGAGTGAAGTGACAGCAACGACGAGTGGAGAAGAGGTTAAACCCCGCGAGTCGAAAGACTGAGTTTTCCGTTTGATATTGTTATTGCTTCTGAAGTTGACGGTAATTTAGAAGTTAGTTTGTTCCTATTCCGTATTTAAAGTGATACCGAGTTGAATAAAAGTTGGAAGCCGAAGAAAGAGTTTGATTCCCGGCCATCCACGGTACAGTATTATAGTCGCTTCTTTTATTAATAATATTATAAATAAGTCAACAGCGTCGTTCTGCTTTTTAACGTTACCGCTACTCATACATAAATAAAGGAACACGTTATCCTCTATTAACGTAAACGGTTATTTCTTTACTAATGCGCAAGCTCAGAATAACGGATAACGTAAAACGTGTTGCAATTAAGGGGCCTAAAAACTCCCAATTATTTGGTAACTTTGTTAAGTTTTTCGTGAAAAATGGGCGAATAGAAACATGCGTGTTTACTGTCACCAGGGTAGAAAAATGGGGGTAATAAATTGTGCTATTATATCTCAGATAAAAATATATCTGGAATTGACTGTAACTTTCCTTGAGAAAAACTTATGATACGAGATTTTGTTCTTGTCAAATTTTCTCTGAAAACGCAGGCCAAGCCTGAAAAGTTAAATAAATATAAATAAATAT